CCTCCTATCTCTCTGCCTTTTCCCATCACCGCTTCTGAACAAGAGCCGAAATTTCTCAAGTGACAGGAGCACTGCTGTCGAACACTCCCCTATGTTTTTAAGGCAGAGCGTTATTTCTAAAACTGTGCAGTATTTCTTCCATGGATAGGAATTTTCAGTATGTGTTTATATCAAATGTACAGATACTGAGGCCTTTTTAAGTTTTTCTTTCATTGTTTAGAAGTAATTTTCTAGTGTTTAAAACAGCAATTAATAAAAGAAAAATAGGAAATCCTATAAATAAAAAACAGGGTGGATGATCCTGAAGATAGGAATCCAAGTTGTCTCCTGCTTTCTATTCCTATTATTAAATAATTAGACTAGGAATGCAGAATAATTTGCATAAAACGAAAGTATCTTTTTTATGGCTATAAGATACCAAATCAATTGTTTATTAGTTCCATGCATTCATTTTAGTTATCATTAAGGTTCAAAAGCTGACTTATCAATGAAACTCTCCTATATGTACATCCTTTAAAATTTAACAGTTAAAAAGCCAGCAAATTCTGTATTACTAAATTAATAACAGAAACCAAAAAAATCCCTTGATATATTATATCGCCCAATAAAGAGTTAACTCAGTCAAAGGCTCCTGTCAGTGAGTGACTATGGTCTACTTAGCAATGCAGCCTAGTGGGTGTCCACTAGAATAGAGTTTTGTATGTTTGGAGACACAACTGAGAAAGCTCCGTCCCTCATATTTAAGATTTACCTGGGGATGCCCGGCAGTCCGGATATGCTCCAAGGAACCCTTCAGCATCTGTACATCATTTTCCAAGGCCGTATAATCTTCCCATACTCGTTCATTGTCCTGGACAGAAACAGTAACTCAGCTACTTAGTCAGACATTCCCTACTGAATATATATTCATACAATAACTGAATTTAAAACTATGATCCAGCTTACCTGTGTTTATGGTAAGAGAGAAAGCTGATGAGATACAGCACGGTGGTGCCTTGGTACTCAATTCCTTTGAAACTCATCACATTTGGTATTCAAAGCATTTTGATGTGAAAATTTTGTCCTGGTACTCATTGTCTGTTTGATACTCAATCCACAAGCTAGAACTTGTTGGTGTTGGCTGCCTTGTGACTCAATATGTTATTCCTTATGAGAAAAAATTGTTTGGTGCTATTGTTTTTGATACTCATCACGCCTCCCAGAGCAATGAACGAGTACTGAGGTACCATTGTATAAGGTCTTACTGAATCTGTCCTACAAAATATCAGGACAACCACTAGGCTAGCAGTCATCTGGATTTTTGCAGCACAGAAATGTAGCCAGCTGGCTGGCTTTGTGTACAGAAACCCTGTGCACACACTGTCTGGGTGACACTCTCCCAAGTCCAGATGGGAAATTCCAAAGAAGGTCATGGAGAATAAGAGGGTTAAGATTCTGTGGGATTTTCAGATCCAGACACTCAGGCAGGTACTGGATAATCAACCAGACATTGTGGTAGGAGACAAGGGCCAGAAGACAAGGGTGACGATATAGTGCAGGAGTCCCCAATCTATGGTCCGTAGCCCACTGCCAGGCCATGGGCTACCAGCCATCAGGCCGCAAGACAGGCTGGCCAGTGCACGCACGTTTGTGTGTGCACTCACCCCCACTCGCGCTAGAGTCTGCAGACCTGTTTGCCCATGCGCGCAGGGCTAGCAGCAGAGGTGGCTAGAACACGCAAGCATGCACAAACAGGGCTGCTAGCGTGCGGTGGTTACACAGCCCGCTTGCACATCCGTGTGGGATTAGCAGCAGCGGCAGCTAGCTCCAGTGTGCATGCGCAAATGGGGCTGCTAGTCCCATGCAGGTGCCTGCAGCCCTGTTCGCGCAGGCGTATGCGTGCATGCACACACAGATTTCCCACCTGCTCCCTCTCCCTCCGGGCCGCCAGTATGAAAAGTTTGGTGACCTCTGATATAGTGTACAAAATGACAGCAACATCAGGAAGGAGGAGGAGCACCAGGGCCTGAATGAGGAATTAGAGAGGATATGGAAATAAAAGCTGAAGCGATCCCAGTGATGATAGGAGCACTCTGAGCTGGGGAACGGCTACAACAGATCTTAGAAACAACTTCAGAGTTCTCTGTCCAGAACAGTGCAATGCTGGGAAACAACTAAGATATTCCGCAGAACCCTCAATGCATTTGGATGTTTCCAGGCTGGGAAAGACATTTCTTTCTCTTTTCCTATAAGTAGTACCAGCTGATGATCAAACAGCTGGGCCTCACCGGATATACAGCTACCAATTGACCTATGTGCAGATCTACTCAGGATGTTTCTTCAAAAAATATTTTCACTCAAGTATCGGGGAGCTGCAACCACTCACCAATGTAAGATCACAGAGACGGGCACGGATGTGCACCAGTTCATCTTGCAGTTGCCTTTGTTGATAGCAGATCTTCTCCACGGTGGCATCTTGGCCTTTAAACTCCTCCAGCCTCAAGTGTGTTACTTCCAAGGCCTTTTCAAGACGTTCCTGAAACAATACCATTTCGAGAACTGTCAACCCAGCAGAGATTTTCCTTCATTGCAGTTTAATGAATCTGTCACGGTTCTGACAGACAGAGACGAATAAAGCAGAACTCCGAGGCTTGCAAGTTCCTCAAATAACAGGTTTATTAGTTACAAATTATTGGCATGGTCAAGAGTGAAACCAAGTCTGGATACACAAGCAACAATTTCCCAATACAAAGTCAAATGTTCCACCCACAAAAGCTATGTAAGCAATTACGTTCCCCAATATGATTATTTGGCAGGCTTTTTATGAAACGCCCAGTCCACAGTCTCGTGAGCAAAAGGTGACCTTGGTTCCCACAGGACAAAATATTATTTTGACGAGCAAAGCACCTGGGCAACCTCCCTCCCTCCGTTCTATGTGGCAACCTAGAATGAGAAGGAAAATGGCTGCAGCCATGCTCATTTGTAGAGTTGACAGAATCAACAAAACAAACATTTGTTTCAAGGCCTTTTGCAGAACCACAGAAATGGACAGTATCACAGACTACTTAGCACAGGGAGAGAACCAGTCCCAAGACCTTGCAGCTGATATTTGGCAGCAAATGACAACAGGACTTCTAATCTATTTGAGATTGAAAGTCAATTCTAAATAGATATATAAGGAGTTATCATGATATGTGAAAAAGACCTCGGGAAACAAAAGGTCAAACAAGTGGAAATTGAGTCTACAGAAGGAATGGGGGGGGGGGCGCACGGCAAACATCTCAAAAGGCACCAATCCCAGTTTCTTACGCTGTAAAGATGAGAAGGGAAGAGCTGTGCCTTCAAATTTTTAAGGTTCTGTTAATGTCATTTTACAGTAAAGATAGCACTTTTTGTTTGGACTATCTCACAAGACTGATGGAGAAAACATTTAAAAAGAGGCAAACTACCCTACCTCTTCTGGTGATGGCATGGCTCCATCAGCCTTCTCACTGAACACTTTGGCAGGATAACTAAGTTAGAGAAGAAAGTTCACACAGACAGAGAATCTGTTCTGGTGTTGACAGAACTCTGGCTACAGGGAGAAGATAAGGCCAAACATCCTTAGTAATCCATTGTGTGTCCAGTTCTATTTTATAAAAGAAATGTAACAAGGACTATTAAGGAATGTCAGCCTTGCAAGGTAGTCCAGACAAGAAGCACACCCAGAAGTACTAGCTGCAACTTTATTGTAAGGATACATAAACAGAATTTTGCAAGTCTTTTTCCAACCATAGCAAAAAGAGGGAAGATCCCAGAATGATTCACCAAACACAAAGTTCTCAAACATAACAGAGGTAAGCAAATGCTCGTTTGTTCAATGGAAGTGGGATTAGATACCTTTTCAGCACGAAGCTGCCCTGTCTCTTCTTCCAGACCTCGAAGCAGTTTGTCTTGGCCACACAATTTTGTCAAAAGAGCCTGAAAACATAGGGGGGGGGGGAAATGGACTGATTCCAATTAAAGCTCTCAGGTGCTGTGCTGCCCAGGCATAGAAGGTTTTTTTTAAAAAGATTTAGCTTACAAGTTAAAATTCTTTGAAAGAACATTTGGGGTTTTTACAATGAGGACTGCAATGTCCAACATTTTTGGACATGCTAGGCAGGAGATTGGAAGTTACAGCCCCAACTCATCCGGAGAAGGTTGACCACAGAAGCTTACTACTCATGGAAGAAATCCTTGGTTTTATGATGATAAAAGTTCCATATTTCCAAAATTCAATTGATCAACCTTTGAAATTAATTCACTGCAAAGTTCCAAATTAAGCACGTGCTTCTACCAGCTGCTTGACCACCTGCTACAAACAAATGCTTGTATTGTGTAAAGCTTTCTCTGCTGATAAAAGTGTGAATAAGGCATGGGCGTAGGCCAGGGCTGGTCCCTCAGTCCCAATGAGTTACCCTCTATCCATACAATGTAAGGGAACTTATTGTCTGGCCCTAGGGAGTGGAAAACTGATTAGAGATGTGAATCCCAAACCTGATTAAGTTACCAAAATTGGGTAAAAGTGGTTTTTGTTGGGGGGGGGGGGGCTAACAACACAGAAACCTATCAAATAGCTCGTTTGATTGTGTGTTGTCGTGGGAGGGGTACTGTTCTTTATTCTTTTATATTGGTTTTTTAAATTTTTTGTAAGCAGCCCAGAGCCACTGAAAGTGAGTGGGTGGCTATATATGTAAATCTCATGTATGCATGCATATACATACATACACACACACACACACACAATCACAACAGGGACATTTAAATAAGAACTTTCTAATAAACAGTGAAAGGGCTTTCTGATAAGCATTTTGGGGTAATGAAGGAAAAAGTTTGGGAAGCACTGGATTAGAGGGATATCAGAGATATTATAAGAGCAGAACTTTAGGCCTGAAGCCACAGCTCCAAGATCAAAAGGCAGAAACATGTGGCCAAATGACGGGAAGTTTGATCTGGTGGTTAAGGCCCTAGAATAATAAAAGGAAAACACCTCTCCCATTGATCATGGTGTATGCATTCCTTCAAGTCAATTTTGACTGCTTAGACTAGTCCGTGCAGGTTTTTTGGCAAGGTATTTTGGAAGTGGATTGCCATTGCCTCTTTTCCAGGGTTGAGACAGAATGACTGGCCCAAAATCACACAGTTGGCTTTGCACCCAAAGTGGGAGAAAAATTCATGGTCTCCCATTTTCCAGCCTGATGCCTTAACCACAAGCTCTCTCAAAGAAGCCGTAGGCCCATGTAAAATTATTTAACTCAAACTAAAATAATCTTCTAGACTTGGATGGAACCTTTTCTGGGGGGGGGGAGGGGGGACCAGATTTTTGCCATTTGGTCCTGGAGGAATCTGCCTAATTGCCTTTTTTGCTGTTCTTAGGCCAACAGTGAAATATATTCATTTTCATTTTACAATTAACCTTTGAGATTTTCTTTCTTTTCTTTTTCAAATGGTACTTTTTTTTTTTACTGCCACTGCGTTTGGAATAGCTTGGTTTTATTCAGTTTACTTTTCCACCGCTATTTATATCATTCTCAAATCTCAGCTTAGTGATAAGACTCCGGGGAGAAGGGGAAGAATGACCTCTTTCAGAGGTAAATCAGTACAGGTAGTCCTCGACTTATGACCACAACTGAGCCTCAAATTTCTGTTGCTAAGTGAGACATTAGTTAAGTGAGCTTTGCCCACATTTTACGACCTTTCCTACAACACTTGTTAAGTGAATCGCTGCAGTTGTTAGTAACACAGTTGTTAAATGAATCTGGCTTCCCCATTGACTTTGCTTGTCAGAAGGTCACAAAAGGTGATCACATGATCTCAGGGCACTGCAACCGTCATTAAGTATGAGTCAGTTGCCAAGCATCTGAATTTTAATCACGGGACCCTGGGGATGCTGCAACGGTCGTAAGTGTGAAAAATGGTCATAAGTCCCTTTTTTCAGTGCTGTTGTAACTTCGAATGGTCACTAAGTGAACTGTTATAAGTCAAGGACTGCCTGTAAGGGAAATTGGCAAAGCAAAAGCAATACACATCATCCATTGGTCAGAGAAGAGAAATGCATACATCAGTGTCACTTTCAAACCGCTGCCTGCCAAGAGACTGGCTGCTCCTTTCCCTCAGCGCGTTTCGACCCTAGAAAGACAGTAAATAGAGCATCCATGTTATCACCCCACAAATAGAAGGGGGAAGAAGTGGCAGCACTGGCTTTTGCCTCAAAGCAGGGGACACTCTGCACATACTCAAGAGATTTGCCCAAACCTGGATCTAAAAAGGTTTCTATGAGTACTTTGGTGCAACCCTTGCATAAAGAAACCTAGCCAGTCAGGGAGAAAGCGAGGCAAAATCTTAGCTTAAGGGACTAGATTTTCACACGCGGGGAGGTGTTAATATCAAGTCGGATTCTGTCATATTATGACCGTTTGCATCTCAAAACAAGGAGCCTGAAAGACATTTTTTAAAATCCAAATGCTGATTCTTACTAAAATTAACCGAGTGAAAGTGACGCGGTTAAACAGGGTTTAGCCAAAATCTTGCTAAACTAGGGGTAGGCAACCTTGGCTCTTTTACGACTTGTGGACTTCAACTCCCAGAATTCCTGAGCCAGCATGGCTGGCTCAGGAATTCTGGGAGTTGAAGTCCACGAGTCATAAAAAAGCCAAGGTTGTCTACCCCTGTGCTAAGCTATATTACCTCAGCAGCAATACAATAGTCTAATGGGACATTCAAGATCGCAAACGGCAATCACATAACCCAAGGACGCTGCGGCCATCATGAATGCACGCCAAGCGCCTGAATTCTGATCACATGACCATGTGCCATTTTTTCACTGCCGTTGTAACTTTGAATGGTTGCTAAACGAAGGGTTGTAAGTGAAAAACTGCCTGTTACTATCTATGTCTTACTAAAATTCTGGCATCTGTTTTCCTGCAGTTCTTGCAATTGGGCAAAACATTGCATCATAGGGAAACCATTTTTGAATCAACCTATCTCAAATAAGCTAACTTAAAGAATGTGACCAAAATCCAGGAGCCCTGACTCCCGGGGGACTGAAATTTGGCAAAATTGTGACTGTTCCAATGCCACCAACTGCTGCACTGCTGCAGTCAGCCATGGCCACATGACTGTCACTTCTTACTATACTTCCCCAAAATGGCTCTCTGTCCCACCTCCCTCTGGCCTCTGCACCCAATTGGCTGGCAGCAAGGCCCGATAGGTGAGCAGCAATTGGCTGCCTTGAAACCAAGGCCGAAATCTGAAATTTCTAAACCGTGGTGGGCAGAGAGGAAAGGATGAGAGTGTGCCTTAGATGCCTTCTGGCAAGTTAAGGCTGGTTGGGGGTTGCTGGCAGTTGACAGGTTAGTCTCCCTGGAGGGAGGAGATCAACAGTTCCCTTGGTTCCCTCTATCCCCAGCACAGGGGTAGGCAGTTCCATGGGTCAGCTGAAGAGGAGGAGGAGGGTAGGAGGAAGAAGAGGAGGAGGAAGAGGTGGAGACAGAAGCTTCAACATGTCTTTGCTAAAGGTGATGAAGCAAAAGAAACAGTGCCAACCTATATTATATGTGAAAAGAAGGAAAACCCAGTGGGTGATGGGTTGTCCATCACTACATACCATTATATTTGAATACTTAAAGTTCTTCCAAGACAATTTGGATCTGGTTGTTCATGGGTCGGCTGAGGAGGAAAAGGAGCGGAGGTAGGAGAAAGAGGAGGAGGAGGAGGAGGAGGAGACAGAAGCTTCAACATGGCTTTGCTAAGTCATGAAGAGAAACACTGCCAACCCATATTATATGTGGAAAGAAGGAAAACCCAATGGGTGGGTGATGAATTGACCATCACCACATACCATTATATTTGAATACTTAAAGCTCTTCCAAGACAATTTGGATCTGGCTGTTCACATCCCTGCCCAAATCCTTACTGCGCAACCAGGAATAAATGTTCCAGCTACTGGCTGGTTCGTATTACTATGAACAATGGTAGAAAAGAGTCGTATAAATATGACCACTAGACATTCTATGCAGTTATCTAGTTAATTGTTTGCACTAGCATTGCCTGTGATGGTAAGGTTGTTGGCCAAGAACAGAGGAGGAACCGAGTACAAATCTACATACCGTGATCCCTATAGATGTCCTTTTCCCTGGGGTGGGCCGAGTGGGCAGGGGAGGAAGGGGTGGTAGGTGCAGGTAGCTTGATGAGGCGGAGTGGGGGGTTATCTGTAGGAAAAGGGAAGGCAATATTAAGGAATACAGCCAAGGGTTAGGAGCAGGTCATGTGACAGTGCAAAAAAACAACAACCCTTAAATGTACATTATACACGAAGTACTTTTCAGAAAACTCTTTAGAGCTTTCGTTCTAGGCAGGAAGCAGGTTTCTAGCTATGATGATGATGGTGATGGTGATGATGATGATGATGATGATGATGATGATAATAATAATAATAATAATAGAGTTGGAAGGGGCCTTGGAGGTCATCTAGTCCAACACCCTGCTTAGGCAGGAGACCTTATACCATTTCGGACAAATGACTGTCCAGTCTCTTCTTAAAAACTTCCAGTGTTGGAACATTCACCGCTCCTGGAGGCAGGTTGTTCCACTGGTTAATTGTTCTAACTGTCACAAAGGAATTCTCGAACACAAACATGGAAACTTCAAAAGTGGTTGAGGACAAGGATCATCTTCTCGCAAGACAATCAAAAGTTGCTACAGGTAATCTTCAGCCAGGCAATTATGGTTGTAAGTTGTAACAGTCGTAAAGCAGGTCATCACATGACCAGACCCAATTTTATTATGCTTTTTTGCAGCAGTCATTAAATAAACACAGCGATCATAAAACAAAAAACTGCAGTTGCTAAGCAAACTCATCGTTCACTGTAACTAAATGCCAATTTCCGGGGGGGGGGGGAATGTAAAATGCAGTCACGTGATAACGGGATGTTGTAAATGTCAGTTGGTTGCCAAGTGCCCAACATGCAGTCATGTGACCTGGGGGGAGGCGGCTGTTGGAATTTCAGAAACAGGTCATAAGTACCCCAGGAAGCTGCATTGCAACACAGAATGATTGCTAAGCAACTGGTTATAAGTTGAGGACTACCTGTATTTTGCTTTATTGGCATCATTTATATCATTTATATAATTGGGCCGGAGAATTCAGCTTTTGCTGGGGCAGAATTACAGGTAGTCCTCAACTTACGACCAAAATTGAGTCCAAAATGTATGTTGCTAAGTGAGAAATTTGTTAAGTGACTTTTGCCCCATTTGTACGACTTTCCTCGCCACATTTGTTAAGCGAACCACTGGAGTTCTTAAATTAGTAATACGGTTGTTAAGTGAATCTGGTTTCCCCCACTGACTTCGCTTGTCAGAAGGTCGCAAAAGTGGATCAGTTGTCAAGCCTCTGAATGTAAATCACGTAACCATGGGGATGCTACAACGGTCATAAGCGTGAAAAATAGCCGTAAGTCACTTTTCGCAATGCCGTTGCAACTTTGAACGGTCATTAAATGAACTGTTGTAAGTCAAGAGCTACCCATACTTAGCCACAAATGCAATATTTTCACACAAAAAATGCAGGAAACCACACAGTCCAGTCATGATGAATGCAGAGGGCACATTCTGTCTGTATATGTGATACTCCAGACCTAGCATATCTAGATTTTGCAGGCTAGATACAGATGAGAGGGAGCATAGCCAATAGAGCAGGAAAATGAAAAATGCTATACATCTCTGTCTCTCCGATACTCACCAGTCGGCCGTGAAGCCGAGACATGACCAAAGCACGGGATGGGCCAACCGGTGGAGAGAGGTAACCTCGGTCTGTAAACTGGCAGAGATAGAGAAACATTCATGAGACATTCAAACTCAGATTGTAGAGAGAATTCAAAGTTTATTTGTTGGTTGACTTGATGTGTATAGGCCCCATCTTACCTTAAAGCCACGTCAAAACCCAAAAATGAATCAATAAAAATAAAAATACGAACGTGTTGAATCAGCAGTAGAAACACAAGCAGCACAAAAAAAACCACCCAAGGATCAATGGCAGGATTAATGAATACATTACATGCAATTCAACCATTGGAAAAAAAAATCTCCAAAACCACCAGACTAGTTCCACGGTGTTGGCAAAATCACCAACAAGCTTAGAAAACCAGGAGCCAAGGCGGTTCAAATGAATACAGCTTTATTGCATGCTGACGTTCTCTACAAGAATCTGAACTACTAATGGTCAAAGCGAATTGGCGGTAGATGAGATTCAATGGAATTCAAGGTGGGCTGGACTTAAGACCTCTTGTGGGTGCAAAGGGAGGTGAGACTGAGGACGTGTTTGACCCCTCCCTTGGGCTCAGCCTGGTCATCTCCTACAGCAGGGATCTTCAAACTTGGCCCTTTGATGACTTGTGGACTTCAACTCCCGGAATTCCTCAGCCAGCATGGCTGAGGAATTCTGGGAGTTGAAGTCCACAAGTCATCAAAGGGCCAAGTTTGAAGACCCCTCTGCTACAGTCATATCTTCAGAGCCTTCCTAAAGTCCGGGAGGGTCATGTCTAGTCTAAGCTCAGGAGGAACGATATTCCAGTGAGATTGTTGTGCTTACTGAAGCCGAAATTCCCACTTACTCTGTTCTGTTGCGGTCTCCCCATTGAAGCGGCCAAGCCATCTTCACCCACAGGCTGGACTCTATGAAGATGAGGACTTTGAGTGTAGTGCCTGGCATAGGAGTCCTCAGTAGTAGGGAACACATCGTACCGGTCTGCAGGGGTCAGAGAGTGGCCTTTGTGGGCCGCCAATGCAACAGCATAAGGGTTATTGGGAAGGCATTTGTTGGGGGCAATATCTACCCTTCCCATAGGGGTGTTGGCATGCAGAATCCTAGGAGAGCTCATGATGGAGAGATCGTCACAGGAGGCAGCCTGTGCAACAGCTGATCGCGGAGGGCTCCGATGGACATCATGAGGGCTCCAGCGGGCATCCTGCGCATCTGATGGTTGAGTCCGTGGCAACTTGGGGGACTCAGCTGGGGCTAGCGGGAGGGAGTAGGCTCGGGAGGAACGCAGGGAAAGCACAGGGGAAGGCTGAAATATCCAGGATGGAGAAGGAGGAGGTGGGCTTTCCGATGAAGGCGGTAGCGGGGTCCGTGGCCGGGAAGAGAACTTAGTGCAACTAACAGGAGAAGGACATCCATGTGTCTGGGAAGACAGGGAACTGCCAAGAGAAGATGAAGGAGAAGAGAAAGTCAATTGTGGTGATTCTTAAGGGCTTTGGAGAGCCAGAGTAGCTATCTGCTACTACATCCTTCCCACTCTTTACAGCAGGGATGTGTCCAACCTTGGCCCCTTTGAGACTGGCAAACTTCAACTCCCAGAATTCCCCAGCCAACCATGCTGGCTGGGGAATTCTGGGAGTTGAAGTCCACCTGTCTTAAAGTGGCCAAGTTTGGACATCCCTCCTCTACAGCATCCATTGAAGTGAATCTGGCTTTGCCTCTCCTTACCTCAGTTCTGGCTGCTCTTTCTTTTCGTGGCAGTAGCTCCCGTTGAGCGAACTGGATAAAGAAGCCCTCTTAAGGCAAGGGGATCCCTTCTGGATGTCAGGCAGGTGGAGGCTCTCGGATGAGGAGGCCCGGGCCTCCTGGATCTCTGAGAGATGGGCAACTTCCAGCGACTCGGTGCTTTTGGCACAATCATCCTGGGGGAGCCGGATGTCCTCAAAGCTGGTGTGGGCAGACACTGAGTGGCTGTGGAGACCCCCTTGGTTGCTGAGGTGGAGGCAAAAGGGGACATTTTTATTTTATTGTATTTATTTTATAACCCACCTTTATTGCTTTTTACAAATAACTCAAAGTGGCGAACAAATGCACCTTCCTTCTCCTGTTTTCCCCATAAAACCTCTATGAATTGTGTGTTAGGCCGAGAGTGAGCGGCTGGCCCAAAATCACCCAGCCAACTTTCATGCCTAAGACAGGACTAGAACTCAGTCTCCTGATGATTGGCCCAAAGTCACCCAGTTGATTTTCTATGCCTAAGGCAGGACTAGAACTCACAGACTCCTAGTGATTGGTGATTGGCCCAAAGTCTAGCTGCTTTTCTTGCCTAAGGTGGGACTAGAACTCACTGTCTCCTGATGATTGCCCCAAAGTCACCTAGCTGGCTGTCATGCCTAAGGCGGGACTAGAACTCACAGACTCCTGATTGGTAATTGGCCCAAGGTCTAGCTGCTTTTCTTGCCTAAGGTGGGACTAGAACTCACAGTCTCCTGATGACTGGTAATTGGCCCAAAGTCTAACTGCTTTTCTTGTCTGAGGTGGGACTAGAACTCACAGTCTCCTGGTGATTGCCCCAAAGTCGCCCAGCCAACTTTCATGCCTAAGACAGGACTAGAACTCACAGTCTCCTGGTTTCTAGTCTTGTGCCTTAAGCATTACACCAATAAATCCAAGTGACTGTTCCAGGTCTCCATAACATTGCCCATTATTCCCAGTGTGAAATCCAGCTCCTCCCTCTTCAGCCAAATGCTGCCCTGTCTGAATAGCTCCATCAAGATGCCTTCCCAGTTCTTCCACAAGGACAACTTACAAATTCAGTTCTTGTGTTCTTCCACTATCTTTTTTTTCTTGTCCAATTCTGACTTTAATAGCATTCACTCTCTTTTCACGGGATTATTCTTTCCGGAACTTTCTACGGTACATTATGTCCCATCTCCTTAGACCAGGGGTAGGCAACCTTGGCTCTTTTATGACTCGTGGACTTCAACTCCCAGAATTCCTGAGCCAGCCATGCTGAGGGGAAAGGAAGAGGTTTCCAAGCTGAGCCATGCTGGCTCAGGAATTCTGGGAATTGAAGTCCACGAGTCATAAAAGAGAGAAGGTTGCCTACCCCTACGCAAAATTGGCAATGCACTCACAACTGGGCTGTGTGTCTGTCCCCATACCCAGCCCTTACAGGTTTCCACAGTTGCACTCAGCCACAGATGATTGGTTCATGGCCCTGATCCAGCTATTCATATCCAACTGGGTGTCTGCACTGAAATAGTAAGTCCGCATGCCAGGGTGTTCAGCCTATGGGGAAAAAGAAAAAGAAGTTTCTTGTAATGGTTGGAGTCTCCACAAGAGGGCAGAAGATACACTTAGAACACCAGCAGAAAAGGAGAGAGTTGGAATTGTTGGTTTCCTATACCAGGGGTCCTCAACCTTGGCAACTTTAAGACTTGTGGACTTCAACTCCCAGAATTCCTCAGCCAGCAAAGAATTCTAGGAGTTGAAGTCCACAAGTCTTAAAGTTGCCAAGGTTGGAGACCCCTGTCCTATACCACTCCTAGCAAATAACATCACTTTGCTTTATAGTGCCTGGACTCTTGCTCATTTCGTTTTGTGGGGAGCTTCAAGATACTCTGTAGCAGTATTTCGCAACCTTGGCAACTTGAAGATATGAGGACTTCAACTCCCAGGATTCCCTAGCATGGCTGGCTGGGGAATTCTGGGAGTTGAAGTCCACACATCTTCAAGCTGCCAAGGTTGAGAAACGCTGCTCTGTAGGACGGTTGCATGACTGCCTTAGCAAGGAGACGCCACATGGCTATTTCTCAATCCATCGTGTTGAAGACACCCATTAGAGAAAGCTAGCCAACTATACTGACAAAGCATTCTGGGCAGCCTCTTGTCTGAGATGCAGTGAAGGATAATGAGTGGGTTTGCATTCAATTTGTCACTGCCTGCCATCGAATGTGGCTGTTTCACTGTCCTAAAGGTAGGGTAGGAGCTTCAGTAAGCAATTCTAAAACCTCGCCAAAAATGCTGCAGGGACTTGTTTAGGCAGTAGTAGCCAGGAGTCAAAGCTAACTCAAAGACACCACCACCAACAACAAACAACAAAAAGGTCCTGAATTAGATTTGGTACCATTTGTACATCTTCCAATCTATGCATCTCATGGTATTGAGTAGGGGGTTGGACTAGAAGATCTCCAAGGTCCCTTCCAACCCTATTATTCTGTGTTCTGGTTCCTCTGCCTGAAAGTCTCTGTAGATCAACTGCTAGCAGGCAGAGCAAGAAATCCTAGTTGATGCAGCTTTTAAACTAGGCTAAGTGAAGCACTGTTTTGCCAGAAGCTGAATGCACCAGGCCCTTGAGTTCCTTGATGAGGAAAAAAAGCAGGCTCAAAGATTCTAAATCGATATATCATACAGTTAGTCCTCAACTTACAACTAGAAATGAGCCTGGAATTTTGATTAAAAATCATTGTGGTCATTAAGCGGGTCAACAAATGACTTGATTTTTATGACCCTTTTATGATGATTCATAAAGCAAACTCACATGGTCGTTAGACAAAACCCCCATGGTTATTAAGCAAATCCAGTGTATTCAACAGGTGGCTTTTGCCATTTTCTGCTGGAAAACGTGAGCCAGCTGCCAATCACCCAAAATGCAATCAGGTGACTGGGGGGGGGAGGGGTAGTAGCATTTGTATCTTCAAGGTCCTAAGTAGCTTTTTTGAAGTCTGTCATAATTTTGCACTGTGGTTAAGTGAACGTTCATTAAGTCGAAGACCACCTGTATTAGACAGATGAGCCAACAATGGAGGCAAATAGCTTCCCATACGGTATTCACCACATATAGACCTTGCTGCTTAAAGCTGAGGCAATGGTCAGACTCTATGGTGGTGACCATGGATAGATTAAGAGAAATTTCATCATCACAGGAGGGACAAAAGCATAAATGAGGGTCCTTCCTCCTGACCTTGAATACAAAGCGACGGTTCTTCTTCTCCTTGGAGAAAGCTGTCCGAATCTCGTAGCTGGGGAGGAGGATACTGCCCAAAACCATCTCTTCACGGCTGTCTACAACACACCCCACAAAAAAAAAGCTTGTCAGGGCTCCTGCTCAAAGCAGATGGGGAGAAAACTCCTCATTTCCTACCAACACGACTGTTTCAAGGAACTGGCTTATGCTTACAGCAGTGCTTCTCGACTTCAAACCATCACTAAATGAACAGTCGTCAGCCGAGGACTACCTGCATTTCTTTTTTTAAACTTCTGTTCCTAGTACTTAGGAATTGTTGCCTTTGATTTCTGCCTGTTGATGCATCACCACACTAGGCCCTCAAAACAGGCCTACCCAGTGGTGGGATTCAAATATGCGAACAACCGGTTCTCTGTGTGGATGCCACTTCTAGAAGTCCGTTCTGGGCCTGGGCAACAAAAAATTAGCTACCGGTTCTGCCGAAGTGGTGCGAATCGGCTGAATCCCACCACTGGTCCTGCCTCCAAATAATTTGCTTCCACCTCAAGGAAACTGAAACAGAAACGCAAGAAAATCCTAATTACCTCGGTAGTAGAAGAGGCAGTAATTGGAAAGGACAAACCAGCGCCGTTTCCACAATTTGAGCCCAGAGCTATCCTGAAAGAAACAAAAATAAAAGGTGGTGGGTTAGTCCAAAGTCGTGTCAGAAGTTTTACCTAGGTAGAACAGGATTCCCTGATTTTAACTCTTTGTAGGGCCCAGGTCTGCTAGAGTTCTGCAATGATATCAAGCGATTTGGGGCCATTTCGCACCCATGATAAAAAAAATTCATTTTTTTCTGGGGTTTTAAAAAGGGAACTGTGAAGAGTTGTTTCGTTTTTGCATGATGCTAAACCCAATTTAAAACTGGCTACAATTTTAGCGTGTTTCCAAACTCAAGCTAGCAAGAAAACAACAGTTCAGCAATAGTACCGGTAGTCCCCAACTTACAACCATTTGTTTAGTAACCATTTGAAGTTACAATGGCCCTGAACAAAGTGACTTGTGACTGTTTTTCACCCTTACGACCACTGTAGCTTCCCCACAGACATGTGATCAAAATTCAGATGCGTGGCAACTGGTGTGTATTTACGGTAGGGCAGTTGCGTGTCCCGGGGTCATGTAACCACCTTTTGCAACCTTCTGATAAGCAAAGTCAATGGGGAAGCCAGATTCACTTATTGTGTTACTAACTTAACAACTGCAACTATTCGCTTAACAAGTGTGGCAAGAACGGTCATAAAATGGAGCATAGCTCACTTAATAACTGTCTCGCTTAGCAACAGAAATTTTGGGCTCAATTGTGGTCATAAGTCAAAGAGTACCTGGATTCAATTTTGTGAAAGCTTATCCTTTGAAATAGAAATCGCTTAGTCTTAAAAGGTGCCATCAGACTCCTTCTGATTTTGGACTCCTTCGATTAACATGGTGTCTTTCCCACAGCTCTCCCTTAAAGTCCATCCTCCCTCCAGCTAAGAAATCTCCTGCATTTCTCAGAAACCATTTACCTGCTTATAAAGCCAGCCACGCAGTACAACGGGAGAGTTAGGATCTCTCTTGATGGAGTTTGCTCTCTTCCCAAATGTGTGCACTTTCCGGACCGGCCGGGCTACGTATGGCTATGGGAGAAACAAATGGATAAATGCAAAATAAACTTACTATATTAAAGAGTATACTCTCTACTGAGCTATCCATCTATACAGCTCAGCATTACTGATCTTAAACAGTCCTCCAGAACTATGTTCAAACCAAGAGTCCTAGTTAAAAAGCTAAGAACTGAACCAAAATCCTCTGTGAAAAAAATCATGTCTCTGTCTGTGACCCATAGCAGGAAAAAAAAGAGAGGTGTTTTTCTGGTTTTCAAGGAATTTAAAATCTCCAAGTTAGAAATACCGTATTTCCCCAAAAATAAGACCTAACCAGAAAATAAGACCTAGCATGATTTTTCAGGAGGCTCATAATTTAAGCCCCCACCCCAAAAATAAGCCCCAGTTAAGATCGTCAGCCAGATGGATGCATTTAGTACACCCGTTGCAACACACGATGGATGTATTGAATTATAAAATAATTATATTGATAATTAAATATAAATAAATAATATTATTGACATTATTTATTTGAATAAATGTAGATTGTTGTACATGAAAAAATAAGACATCGCCTGAAAATAAGCCCTAATGCATCTTTTGGAACAAAAAGTAATATAAGACCTGGTCTTATTTTCAGGGAAATACGGTAAGAGGAAAAGGGTGTATTAACAATGTATTCGAGGTCCAGGTGAAAAAGACCTGAGAAGATAATATGTGGTCTGTTATGACGAATAAATCTGTCAAAAGAAGTGAAAATAATGTGCATCTATACCAGGGGTAGGCAACCTAGGCTCTTTTATGACTTGTGGACTTCAACTCCCAGAATTCCTGAGCCAGCCATGCTGACTCTGGAATTCTGGGAATTGAAGTCGAGTCATAAAAGAGCCAAGGTTGCCTACCCCTGATCTATACACTCAGTTATACCGAAGTGAGAGTTGGGTGAATTAGGAGATATCCAAACATAAATTGCAACAGTGGGAATATGGTAAAATCAACAGAATGGATGAGTGAGTGAACTAGATATAGTCCTTGACTTACAACAGTTTGCTTAGTGACAGTTCAAAGTTACAATGACATTGAAAAAAAATGAGTTATGACCATTTTTCATACTTATGACCATTATAGCATCCTGGTGGTCACATGATTTACATTCGGATACTTGACAACTGACTCACATTTATGATGGTTGCAACGTCCCGGAGTCATGCGATCCCCTTTTGCAACCTTCTGACAAGCAATGTCCATGAGGAAGCCAGATTCACTTAACAACTGTGTTATTAATTTAACAACTGCAGTGATTCACTTAACAACTGTGCAAGCAAAGTCGTAAAATGGGGCAAAACTGACTTAACAAATTTCTCACTTGGCAACCTAAATTTTGGGCTCAACCGTGGTCGTACATTGAGGGCTGCCTGGAATGTAAATGAATGAATGTGAACTGAAAATAAAAGTGAAACATTGTAGGAAACATCAAGAAAGTTGGCCATATACAAAGAACAAATGAGAACTGTATGAGAAAACTTTCTTTTTCCTTTCTGGTGTTTTCCCACAGGTATAAGGTGTACTTTTCGGATCAAATGTTGATCCATCAGTTGCGACCATTAATTGCGAAAAAAATGAATGGATCAAAAGGAAATGGAAGAAAATAAGTTTTGATTGGGTGAAATTGATGAGATCTTCAAAAGGAGAAGTTCAAAGAATCAAAAGCAACCTACAAATTTATGGACGGACTTGAGGGATATAGTCTAAACCAGCTGTATTTTATTTTGCTGTCCTTCATTTCTTCCCTTCATTGTTTTTTACTTTCTACTTTTAACTCCTTTTCTGTGCTTTGTATAATGTTGCTTAGCCCCAAAGGGAGTGTCTTGTTTCTCATAGTAAGCAATGGATGTTTTAATTGCTATTAATGTATTGTAAGGTTTAAATAAGATTTTTAAACCATTACAATTTTATCTAGGTGCATAGGAGACTATTATATTGTGGCTTTATTCCTTGAAAAGTGCTTTATCTTTCTAAGGAACTAAAGGTCACAAGCTAAAATTTTCTTTTCAAACCATCAAGATACCACCAATGGCTAATGCAGGCATATAAGGACAAGAGTAAATATTTGAGGATTAGAAATTGTTATGCAAGTTTTTTAGCTTTCCTTCTTTCTTGGAATAGGATTCTAGTGTTGTTCTTTTAAAAAGCACAAGTGTTTGACCCAAGAGATAACCAATTACTTTGAAGTTCTTTGAAAATAAGACTGAGCAACAGCCCAACAACACTCAGGAAAAACAAATATAGGTAAAAGAAATGGTGGGTGACTCATTTTTATGTCTCATCTGTCAGGTTCCCATCAATTCCAGGTCCTCACCTTTGTTCCCATTGAGACTGAAGAGATAGTGGCTGTACTGCTGGCTAAACTCAGACCACTTTTAGGTCTATCCCCTTCTGACATTGTCCCTGGTGAATTTGATGTTAATCTGCAAAAAAACAAACAGATTATATTATAAATGTGATGCTTTAGAGTAGTTTTTCTCAGCCATGGCAACTTGAGAAAACGTGGGCTTCAACTCCCATAATTCCTCAGCCAGCCATGTTGATTGAGGAATTCTGGGAGTTGAAGTCCACACTTCTTCAAGTTGCCAAGGCTAGGAAACACTGCTTTAGGGCAGAGATCCCCAACCCCCACTCCGTGGACCAGTACCGGGCTGTGGCATGCCAGCAACTGGTCCGCACAAAGAAGCAAAGCCCCATCCGCAAGATGCAGGCAGCATACAAAACTACGCACCCTCCGGTCCGCGGAAAAACCTCTCCACGGAACCGTCCGTTTTTGAGAAATACAGAGCATATGTCTTCAACTTTTCAAAAGGTATCAAATGTAACCATCCCTGGAGGTTTTCAAGAATGGTGTAAGGTCTCCTGCTCAAAAAGGGGGTTGGACTAGAAGACCTCCAAGATCCCTTCCAACCTTGTTATTGTATGCAATTCTAACCCTAACCAATCAATTGGTGAATTCATATTTGGTCAGTTCTTTAATCTTTACCTATCAGACTTTCCTTTCCTTCCTCGTTTCTTTTTCCATCTCTTAACAAAAATGCATTTAGTCTCTGTCTAGGATAATATATTGTTCTAATCCAGGTTTATCAAACAAGCCACAGTGGCCTACTTCAGGAAATACGAACTCACTTCTTGTAACAGCCTTGTAAATGAAGGTTCCAAATCTGCAAAAGAATTTATTGGCCAACTGGGATCAGACAGAATTTAAAGCTCAGGGTTTCTAGCTGGAGGTCTGTAATGAATGAGATTTTTTTATTCTAATTTCAGACCACAAATGGAAGACAACAACCTTTTTCCATCAGCCTGATCATTGATCTGCCCAGAACTCTTCTGTCACCTATGGCAACCAGATAATGCTTAAATACAAAACTGGCTTATGATATCTATAATCAGAACTTCGTCATCCTGAATTCCACCCAAAATCCAATGCATGACATGGAATTTGGATTCCTGAACATATCAGCATTCTTGTTTCTATTGTTTCTGGGGTTTTTTTTAAAGCCGCAAGTTAAATTATTCCTATTTTTAAAGGAATGAGTCATTGTTCTAGTTATTCCTTTTATTAGCCATTTTCCAAAAATCCAAAAAATATGCATATTCAGTACATGAATATAATGTTACCCTTCATATTGGTGGATTTTTTTCTTTCTAGAAAATATGCAGGCCAGATTTGTTAACATATTTTGTTGTCAGGACATTTCATTAACAAAGCCTTTGCCGGGCTTTAGTAGCAGTGAAGTTTTTTTTAAAAAAAAAAAATCTGTTAAGCATAACACAGAGAATAGGAAAAATATTCTGCCCTGCTAAGTCTTTACTTCCACCTCACAAACCCAGCACCCCACAAACCTGTCAAATCCACCCCTTCCTCTCAATTTATGAATCATTTTCTTCACATTTACAGCCTAATCTTTAGGAAACAAAAAAAAGCACTCTTCTTATCGATCAACCTTATGTAAAATCTGTATTAAGCTGTTGTGTTCCCTTCCCTACTTTACGTCAGAGCAAAATTTGAAAAAGGGGGGGGGGAAGGGCACAGAATTCAAAGTTCTTACAGGGCAGAAGCAGAAAGGCTTACAAACAATCCAGCCTGCTTTAATTAAAATCCGTTCGTTCATTCCTGCATCTACACATTTACCATGAGATTTTTACATGCCCCATTGATCTTTTCTCCTTCTTTTAAATGGAGCCAAAACTCAAAATGGAAGTATTGAAACTAGAAAAGTTACCCTTCTGTTTGGCCCTTAGCCATTAATTCCCCTCAGTTATTTTTGGATCAAACCCACCTGCTTGTGTCTGGCATCCCTTTCCAGACAGCATCGACTTGGAGATGGGAAATTCCATCCCCTTCGCTGCCAGAAGGGTTCTGCGGTTACTTGTCCCCTTTGTTGTTAAAACCCAGAACCTCCACATTTCTAAATATCTGAGATTTTAACTCTCGCAGGCCACTTTTGATTCATGCTTAAGTGGCATTCTGAGCTTCCTGCTTCTCAGTTACTGATGATAACTCTTTGTTATGGTTGATTTCCATGCATAATTCGTATTTTGTCGAGCGCAAGCGTGATTTGACACCCTACAGGTCTACCATGCTGCAATTAGAATAATTTTCAAATACCACGGCTTCTATTTTACAGGAATGCTGTTGCTGCAAATTATACCTTCATGTTTAAAAAACTTTAATTATTAGTGGATCCCTAAGCGGTCAATGGAGTACCACATGTGTCCTCCCCCGAACTGCTATTGAAATGTAAGTTTTAATGTGAAAGAAAGAAGTATTAAATAGATAGGAAGTAATCTAATATTAAAATAATTTATTTTTTAAATTTCATTAATATTTAAATCAAATTTTTGCAAAACTCAAAACTTTGTCCTGTCCTGCCCAATTTTTGGAGCCCTCCATCCATGGATGCCAAAAGCAGCCTTTGCCCACCCCTCAAAAAGTGTCACAGCTCTAATGTATACTATCAAATATGCTAAAACAATCCTGTAAAATCCTGTAAAATTATAGTACAAGTAGTCCTCAACTTACAACAGTTCATTTAGTAACTGCTCAAAGTTACAAGGGCATTGGAAAAAGTGAGTTATGACCGTTTTCCACACTTATGACCGTTGCAGCATCCCCGTGGTCACATGATCAAAATTCAGACGCTTGGCAACTGACTCATATTTATGACAGTTGCAGTCTCTCGGGGTCATGTGATTATCTTCTGCGAACGTCTGACAAGTAAAGACAATGGGGAAGCCAGATTAACTTAGCAACTGTGTCACTACGATAATTTAACAACTGCAGTGATTCAGTTAACAACTGTGGCAGGAAAGTGGAGCAAAATTCACTTAACAAATGTCTCACTCAGCAAAACAAAATTTGGGCTCACTTGTGGTTGTTAAGTTGAGGACTAGCTGTATTTCCATACAACCATTCAGAAAATCAATTTCACACAGTAGTTCTACTTCAGTGAGCACAACTGGGTTAATCATTAAGAAAAGCAGTAAGACAGGGACTGTGCTTATGACCTTCAGCTTTACAAACCTGCCAAGGTAGTAAATGGAGCACTGGTCATAAAGTTACATTTTCATTACCACCGTAACTGCGAAGGGTCGCTAAATGAGATGGTTTCTAAACAAGGATTACCTTATCAAGCATTGGGAGAAGAGACCTGGGCAAAGAGATAAGGGTTTAAAACAACCTTGAATGGTTGTTAAGTCGAGGACTACATGTAAACCAATGGGAATTTGCCATCCACCATAACAAGACAAAGAAGATAACGCAGCATTTTGCAGAAAACCTCTTCCCAACCAGCCCTGGCTGGCAACACATTTTGTCTCATGATCCCCAACCAAAGGGCACCTCCATAACTCCTGGCACACTTTGCCTTTGCATTCCATCTCTCCCTCCCACCTCTTACCCTGGCTATGACGCCAAGCGGATGAATGGAGCATTGATTCAGGAAGGACCCCCCTACCCCGCCTTGATCCTGAACTGCAAGGGGAGCACTGAAGGCCCTTATTCAAACACCCACACTGAGTTTGAGGAACGTCATGTTATTGCCTTCGCCCGGAGCCATAGGGAAAGATGGAATATTTAGTATGGGAGCAATAAGACACAATGAGGAAACTGGCAAAGAGCAGCTTGACCTTCCCCATAATCATAGGAGTGAAGAAGAACCGTCTTCACAAATGCACTACACGATGCAAAACGCAACATGTGGCTAGGTTGCTTCCAAGCTTGGTGTTTAGGGCCATAAAGTTTAGCATAAGCTTTATTGCAGTGATGTACAGTGGCTCTTCCCCATGCTTTAATTTTTAACATACTAATTTGCACAGCTCACTACTTAGAACAGTACATCATGCTAAGCTATGATTTGCTTTCAATTATGCTTTAATCTCAATGGTTGGTTCACACTTGATAGTAAGTCAAATGGCTGACTCGTACTGTATATAACAAAAACCTACGGTATCACACTTTGGCTCAATGCAACATGTGAATCTAATCAGAAGCTCGTACAGTCAGTCATCTGCTTGTTTCCAAATTCAAAGATTTCAAGGTTGCCAACTGACAATGCAAGAAAATATACCAGTTAATGGCGACAGGTTATACTTTTGGAGGAGTCAAAAATAAGGAAAAAAGCCAACTTTGGTGATGAGACATGATCCCAGGTTGTAATTGGTGAAGATAGGATACCGTTTTGAATTTATATCCATCAAGTTTAACATTACTCATCTAAGGCTCTAAAAGATGTCAGAACTCCAATTCCCAACATTCCCAGCCCAATCCTAAAAGGTTTAGCACACACCCAGGCCTTCAGGATTTAGGGCAAACCCTACCACTAAGCCAGTGTTTCCCAAGCTCAGTGGCTTTAATATGTGGACTTCAGCTCTCAGAATTCCTTAGTACTGTATAAAATGCTTCCTGGAGAATTCTGGGAATTGAAGTCCATGCATCTTAAAGTTTCTGAAGTGAGGAAACAGTGCACTAAGCAAAATGAGACAGATGCTGGGAGAATATATGTCACATGGAATGACCCGTGTCTCTTAAACTTGCTTTCTCCCTTCACATGTAGCTCAGGATACAGTTCTATTAAAGGGAGATTCAACTGCCAAATCAGTCGAATTCTGAACCTGTTTCGCAGCATCAGAGGCCAGGAAGAGAGGGGACAGTTACCATATTGGTTATTGAAGAAAACTATCTAAGGTAATCTATTAAATTTCTAGAGACTTTCTAGGCCTTCAGAAGACACCAAAGAGTGAACTCTCCTGCTTGAAATAATGGGTTCCACCACCAGTCAAGATCTCTCTCACTTCCTTTTGTAGAATTAGTAAAAATGATTTAAGAATTTAGTATGAGGGACAGGGATATCAATTCAGCTTTAAGGAGACAAAGAGTAAACGTAAGGTCTTTAT